TCGTCGTCAAATCTCCGTGCTTGGTCACCTTGTAGATGCCAAAGGCGTGCGTCCATACCCAGAGAAAATTCGTGCAGTTACCAAATTTTCTGTTCGGAGGACCACGAAGGATGTCTGTCCGCAGTTTTGTGGGGTTGTGTTCCTATTTCAGACGCTTTGTTAAGGACTTTGCAACCATTGCACGCCCCCTCATGGACCTCCTGAAGAAAGACGCTTCGTTTTACCGGGGCCATGACCAAGCGTCATCGTTTTCCCAACTTATAACCCTGCTTACAACGCCACAAATCTTGGCCCACTTTGAGCCATCAGCCCCAACTGAAGTTCGCACGGATGGCAGTGGACACGGCATAGCAGCTGTGCTATTGCAGCACCAACAGGGACATGACCGTGTTATAGCCTACGCAAGTCGACTGCTATCTCCAACCGAGCGCGACTATTCCATCACGGAGCGCGAGTGTCTCACCTTTGTATGGGCAGTTGCCAAGTTTCGTCCATACCTGTACAGGCGCTCATTCCGTGTTGTCACGAATCACCACGCGCTCTCCTGGCTAGCCTCCCTAAAGGACCCCACAGGATGTCTCGCTCGTTGGGCCCGACGCCTTCAAGAATACACGTTCTCTGTAATCTATAAAACAGTACGATTACATCAGGATGGGGATTGTTTATCCCGCTACCCTGTGGATAAAGCAACCCATACTGACGCTATCGCGGACATCTTTTTTGTCTCGCAACTGCTGAACATCGGCGAAGAGCAACATCAGGATGCTTCTTTACGAGCCATCATTGACAAACTGGAGCCAACACCTCCCAACCCGTCCCTACAAATGTTTTTGGTGAAAGAGGGAATCCTGTACCGCCGTAACCTTGATTTCTTCTGATCATATTTACTTCCTGTCATTCCAGCGCACCTGCATTCCACTGTCCTCCACCAACTTCACAACACTCCCATGACGGCCCATTTGGGAGTTTCCCACACATACGATCGTGTACGACGTCGATTTTTTAAAGACAGTCTTTCTCGGGAACTTTCGACGCAAAAATTTTGGTCTGTCTGTACAGTTGTCCATTTGTCCACTCTTACCGGCATCAGGTACTTGAAACGGCTGACCCCATCCGCAGCGACCACCAATGTTGCTCAAGGTTGAGCGTTCATGCTTGTGCAATTGTCAATATAAAATGCAATTATTGCGCATGTCTGGGGCACCATAACAACACACATATATTCTGCATATGCATCTCTTACTAGATAATGTATACATAAGTAAATTTAAGGACCATAGCACTTATCACGCTGCGCTTACCATGCAACGCTTGCGTGGAACGGGGAGTGTTTCCAACGCTTTGCTAAGACGAGATGGTGGTGGCACCTACCCGTCGCCTCGCGTTCTACACCTTATCACGCATCTTTCTCCGCAGGCGCACAATCCTTCCTTTGTTTTCGAAGATAAATGCCAGATGGTGCTCGTGTGTACCGTGCCTTGATGCGCTCGTTCGCCTCCGCTGCATGCTCGAGGCATTCTAACGCGGCGCCTTTGGAATAACGTTCACCGATTTTCTTGCGCAGAACGTCAAATAAATGTTGTGTTCACTCTCTCCACACGCAAGACTATCGTCTTTCAGGGACATTTGCAGATTACATGCAGATACGGGGCCAATTTATTGTTCTGGACTTGCCTGCTCTATTCGACGCTATGTCGCCGCTTGTGAGCCCTGCCAGCGTTGCAAAACGCCATCTGCGCTTTCAGCTGGCTATCTTCAGCCGATCGACGTTCCCGCTGAACCTTTCTTTCGAGTTGGTCTCCACCTGCTGGGCCTTTTTTCACTTTCCACAGCCGGAAATAAATGGATTTCTGTTACTACAAATGACGCGATGCGGTACGCAATCACACGAGCACTCCCGACCAGTTGCGGTACCGACGTTGCTGACTTTCTGTTGTACGGCATAATATTAGTGCACGGAGCTCTCCGCCAACTTCTCACCGACCGTGGCCACACGTTCCTCTTAGCTGTCGTTCACGAAACCCTGAGGTCTTGCCATACCAAGCACAAATTTACTACTTCGTGCCATCCCCAGTCTAATGGCCTCACGGAGCGCCTCAACTGGACCATAACCAGTATGTTCACCAAATACGTTGCACCAGACCACCAGGACTGGGACATTCATTTGCCGTATGTGATGTTCGCCTATAACTCCTCCCATCACAACAGTGCCGGCTGTTCGCCCTTTTATCTCCTATATGGTTGGGACCCAACGCTACCCTTATACCTGTGTCACACGGACACGTTTGAAAGGTCATTGAGTCGATGGCCATCGAAACGCTACAACTCTATTGAGCTCGACGAAGTTGTCGCGCTGCCACACAGCAGTTTTCAACGGCCATTGAGTGATTAAGGTGTTTCCCACAAAACTTTCGTGGCGCTGCAAGTTTTTATTTTTGTTTTCATGTCATTGTAAATAAAATCATATAGATTTACTTAAAAGCACACTTTTGCTTGTTGTTTGTGTTTATACATGTCAATAAATGTTTATAGCAATTTTAAATGCATAATTAGTTTTTATCTTTGAGCAGCCAAACTATGGCAATGCTATAACTGCTTCATTTGCTGTTCTGCGGTTGTGTTTACATGTTTACACGTGTCGGAGTGCACTATGACAGCTGGCTGTTACGACTACGTGCTTGTGTGCAGCCGTCATGAACAGCGAAACAGATGACAAGGTCGCTATGGTGTTCTATATGAGTACGATTATACAGCTTGATGTTGGGATCGAAGCGGCGAAAGAAAAATTCGACGCCATCGAGGAAGAGCTGCTGTTCGTGAACAATTTGCTGACGACAATGGACGCAGTCACCGGGTGAAGTGTGGACAGGGAAAGGTGGTCGTTCACTCGGCAGACGAGGTGGATCGAGGAGACTGTGCCAATGCTTGGCGAGAACATTAAGTGAGCGCTGCGCCGGGGACTTTTTGCTACATCCTCAAAACAGTCGGACCACTGCTCCAGCACCGAAACAGCGCTGGCATGGCTCTTTCTTTTTTGGAGGCGGTGCATTCGCCATAGCAAACAAGCACAAAACACTTGCTCGGTTAAAAAAAGAAGTGTCTTCGTCGCACACTCCTAAACAAATAAAAAAGCGCTACACAACCCCTCAAGAGTTGAAAATAAACACGAGGAAATAAAAAATATAAAAAACAACACACAAACGTAGAGAGCAAAAAAATAAAAAAAGAAGCAACTAAAATGGCGGCAGGGACACGCTAGGGCTATGATAGGCCACCTCATGGTGGCACCCTAACGGTGATAATGAGCGCGGTTTCAGGTGAGTGTTGAGCTAGAAAAATTTGTACACTCCAAATTACACAACTACTACATTGAATAACTTATAACATCTATATACACTACTTTCAATGCATACTTGCATACTTGTTCATTATTTCCTTTTTTAATTATGAGTACAAGCACTCTGGGAACAAGAAGGCTCAATTACGCTGTTTCCGCTTCTGCCGTTCGATGTCCGTTGAAGTTTCAATGGAGTTGTGAAGGGCTCCGTGGACTCGATGGGCCATTGACTCCATAGCCTTTGAAACCGCCCATGTGGCAGCGCGTGCATGCCCGTTGACTCAATGGTCTATCGATTCAACGACCTTCAAAACGCTCGTGTGACACGGGTATTAGACACTTTGCTACCTGGAGCCACTGAATATGCCGGGGAAGCTATCGCCCGCGCTGACCACACGCGCCAAGTTGCCTGTAACCGTCTACAGGCCTCAGAGGCGCACCAACGACAGCTTTATGATTCCCACCACAGAGACTTGCACTTTTCCCTAGGTTCTCTCGAGCTCCTCTGGTCACCCACTCGGCGTGTGGGACTGTCTGAGTAACTGTTTTCGCCCTACACTGCACCATTCCATATCGTTCGCCAGGGGACTGACGTCACGTACAAGATCGTCCCAATCAACCCAACAATGTCATCGTCAGCCCCGAGCGACACAGTTCACGTGGCTCGGCTAAAGCCCCATTACTCCCCTTCGACATCATCTGCGTAGATTAAGCACCGCGACGGTGATTCTATAGCCAAGGGTTATGATACATAACAGCTGTACAAAGCGGCTGTATGAAAGAAGAGGACGAAGTTAGTTTTTGGTTGATGCTGGACTGGCACCATCTTGGTTGTCGGGTTCTGTGCATCCTGAATACATTATAAAGAAGTTACTCGTAACAATATTATTGTGTATTTTTCAGTAATTAATCACAATTACCTCTAAGTTTTTAAAATATAGTACTCTGAATCATGGTGTACATTGGGAAGACTTCAGCACGCACACAATAGATGTGGAAAGAAGACAAATGGACGCCAACTCGCCCAACTCTCTATAGTTTTACATACTGTATTTCTTTATGAACCGAATTCAACAACCCTCTCAAATTACATGCAATATTATCCGCTGGTGAGCATTCCTAAAAAGGTAAACAGATATTTCAAAATAGCTGCCGAAACACCCATTCCTCCGTTTCATTTAAACAGCCTTCACTAAAACAATCATTTGTGGCAAAATATTTCAACCAGGATTGATATAAAAGAATTTAAGGTGACAAAAAGGCTTAATTTACCATTAGCTCAGTGTTTGTAGTATCTTGTTTGCCTGTAGTGCTGAGATATGGCAAAAGCAAGTCGAGTCTCGAAATGTGGACCCTGTGCCCTGAAGGGTAAGAGTCAAAATTACACTGATATGACAAAAACTGAAGGTGGTTTAAACAAGTGGGCATGCATTACTTAGCCCTTAATTGACCTGTTTCAATCCGTGAGCATTATATATTTAACTGCTGTAATTTGCCGTTTCATAATGCACAATTGGTAGCTTTATGAAAAACGAACTGGTGACATGCCTTGTGTAACCATATTGTAATATGGAACAAGCCATCTTTTGTTAAAAATTTGAAGTAAGACGCTAGTAATAATTCATGATCCATGTTTGTGTGTGTTTGTATGTATAATTTACAGGCTGAAGCAGTGCTGGCTGTCAGTCATGGGCGTTCTCACTCTCTCTACAAACATCTTAAGTTCTCGTATGACCACTGCAAGCGTGAAGTGGAAAATCCAGGAAAGGGAAAGGGCATCACACTGAAGTTACAATAGCAGTGAGCACACTCAGATGGGATTATCTCTGCACACTTTTCAAATAAAAAGGGTGCCAACGTTCTTTATATGTCTTAACTGTAGAACAAAATAAACAGATTTATTTGCTCCAGTGGTTGCAGAATTCAATTGAGTGCACCTATTGTTTTGACGCATTGTCTTCGAATGTGTAAGATGTAACTTTAGAAGACAAGGTTGTTTGTACTAAAAGTGCTGAGAAGTAGACTCGTATGAAAACCTACTACAAAAATCAAACTCTCCAGTTTTTCCTGCTTACGGGTTTAAAGGGACTCTTAAAACAGAAACAATGATTCACAAACTGCAGTCTGAGAACTCTGATTGATCACATTGTCACATTGTCATAACTTCATTATTAGCAGAGAAAATCAAGGTTTAAGTTTCATCTTTAAATATCGCTCTGAAATCTCTGCGTGTAACATCAAAAATTTCAATATATCTTTTTCGTATTTGCACGACATTGGCACAATGAAATCTTCTGAAACTTCATATGCTAGGTCTATAGCCCCCAAAAATCAAAACTTATTTCAATTTTATCGATTATAAGCTACGTGGGACCCAGTAGATGCCTTCAAAATCAAAGACACCATGGGGTTTTTTTTTTGCACATTTTCTCACTTGCTAAGTGTCATATCACTGTACGTGTAGTGTTTTCGAGATTGTGAAGTTGTACTTCGGCCCCGCCACACTGGTCTAGTGGCTAAGGTACTCGGCTGCAGACTCACAGGTCGCGACATCGAATCCCGGCTGTGGCGGCTGCATTTCCGATGGAGGCAGAAATGTTGTAGGCGCGTGTACTCAGATTTGGGCGCACGTTAAAGAACCCCAGGTGGTCGAAGTTTCTGGAGCCCTTCACTACGGCGTCTCTCATAATCATGTAGTGGTTTTGGGACGTTAAACTCCACAAATCAATCAATCAAGTTGTACTTCACTGTGATGTAAAAAATTGTGTTCTTTAGTGTCCCTTTTAAGGGACTCTGAAACGGTTTTGATGATTTTGTAGAAACACATTGTGCCGGCAAACTAAGTCCTAAGGGTCATTTTCAGACCGCTTTGAGCCCTTTGCATGAGCTGTGTAATGAATTACAACGCTTTAAAGGTGTGAATAACTGCAGGTCGCTGCAACTCAGCCAAACACGTTTTCAACCTCCCATTCACACAATGACATGCTTTGGTAACACAACGTCACCCAGGCTGCTGATCTGACTCGCTGTGGGATGTGTGGGCAAGATAGGCTCACCTGTCAAAGCAAATATCAACCGCTTTGCGATCTTCATCTTTGTCGCCAGACGGCATGCGTACAGCTGAACGTGCTGTATGATGGCCTCCGAGATTGCGTGCAACCTGTTGACCTGCAGTCTCAGACGTCTAGACTGGGTAAAGCTCAAATCGTTGAGTGCGCTCATGAGATCTCTGCGATCCTTAGCGATGCCAGCATATCTCATGTGTTGTGGAGGCATATTTGGGGTGAGAAGGATGGTATGACATAATTGTCCATAGTGGCCTGGGTACACAGTGTGTCGCTAAATTTGTGGTGCGAATGGTTTGGTGATACTATAGCCTAAACGCTGACAAAACTTCAAAAAACCGTTTCAGGGTTCCTTTAAACAAATGTGAAAGAGACGGTAGTTGCATACTCACCCTGACACCTACAGAACATAAAAAACATTTTGTAAGGTGCTATGCATAGATTTCTTGTTTTGTTTTTATGCATGTGTTATACTAGTGAAGCACTTCATTTTTGTAGCAAATTGCATTCTATCTTTTTATATATTTCTTTTATGTAGCCTTACGCATGTATGTGCAGCATATTCAATTTTACTCGTTGACTGAGTTTAGTTTCTCTGCCATATATAGGTGCGCTTAAGCTACAGTTTTGTAGCTTTTAGCCTGGGGTCCCTTGCCCCTTTTATAGGAAAAAATAAAGACAATTATTAAAGTAAAAAATTAAATCAAGCTCACACATGTATGTTTGAGCCCTGATAATTTATTTAAGATCATTGTGAGCAATTACATCTCACATGTAATTTATATATGTGACATTGAGTGTTGAAGTCGGAGTCAGACTTATATTTCCAGTTTATATTTACAGTTATGCAGTATGTAGAGTTTGTGAATAAAAACAAAGTCAAAGTCATGTATAATTCTTATACACGCAGTATAAGTGCTGCATGCCCAGCATATACATCATGAACTGGGCAGAGCACCTACACTAGCCAAAGAAAATAGTGCAGCTGACATGGAAACAGAAATCACAGAAAATGTATTGTATTGACCAGGTGTAATACACATAGTGTGCCATGGCTAGCATTGCATTACTTCAGACTTCTTCCAATGATTTAGTTCAAAATTAAGATAATCCAACTTTAGCGGGGATCAAAAGCTGTATCTTAAAAGGACCTTACGCCATATTTTTTAAAAGCCTAATAAAATGCCTTGAAGGTATTGTGCAAACTGTGTTCTTGTTCCCATGCATTCTCAACTTGCTCAGCAATGAATAAATGGGGCAGTTGCTCCATTCTTTCATCTTTATGGGGCAAGCATGCCACTGATTGCAGCATTACAAATGTGCCATGGTGAAATAAGTAAAAGTGTTTGCATTTTATCACAGGTAACAGTCTGGTGAAAAATAAAAAAAAAGTAACCTTTTTTTTTTTAAGTTTATCTCACTACGACTGTTTGTATATCACGGTGCTCTTCAAATAGTCTTTGTATTGGTTTCTAGTATTAGGTTTATAAATACCAGCTTCAGGAAGTTGAAAACCGTTTAATTTAATATACCATTTTCGTATCCACATCTATCGCACACATGCAAGACAAGATCTGGAAATTCATTAATGTCACTCATTCATCTTGGTGATGTTGAAACATTCAAAGGGGTAAAGAACCACTTTTCCAAGTATCATGAAATCTCACGTAAGCCCTCAACAGGTGAATGAAACCAAAATATAACAAAAGGGAAGGGGTGGTGGAGCGCTTCACCCCTCCTTCCCTCTTTGCCTTTATTCACCTGCAAATATCTCGAGTAGGGAAGGGGGCACTTGCCCAGGATTTTATGGTATTGATCGAATGACCTCAGTATCGTAGTTTACTGCCTCACAAATCAATTTCTGCAAAATTTGTATGATCCATCAAGAAAGAGTGCAGTTACAGGGGATTGTCGCGTGCTTTAGATGCTTTTTGTTGTTCTGTTGAGCGTGCTGTAAGCTATTCTAAAAGGATTGGCACATGAGGTCATTAGTTATGGCAGCGAAGCATCGTGAACAAGAGCACGAGTGATGATTTCAATCACTCTTTCCCTTTGTGATCACTCTTTCTCGATGTTATCAGAATACGGAGCGCGGTGGCACCCTGTGGCAAGAAGCGGTCACAAGACAATAGCGTCAGTTGCTCCGAGGAAAGAGCACAGACCTCTGAATGAAATGAGGGAATCTGAGAAAATGGTAACTTTGAGCTCATCTTGTAAGCTCTTTTTGCAGCGCTCGACTGCAAGATTTCACTCAGATGTTTGTAGCATTGTCTGATATCGGCAGGATGTGCATTTCTCACCAAGGCTAAAGGTCATTGACTGCTCAGAAGTGGGCAAACATGAGTCTACACAGCTTTGGAAACTTTGCACAATTTTAGGACTGGCTCCCAAACTTTGCCTTAAGTAACCGGTAAGGGTACAAGGAAGAAGAAGTTTCCTGATGAAAAGGTTGAGCACCCATTTCAATATAGTGAAAACTTGGGCTTGCTGATGGAACGTTAGGAAAGAAACCAGCCAACAGTCACAATGTATGTATAAAGTATTTCACTACACACAGTGCTAATCAGTGATGGTGTCTTTATATTTTTAAGTTGTGATTGTTCACTGGTTTCCTTTGCGATGAGTGCCTGCACTTCTGAGGGCAAGGTCGAGGAACAAAAAAAAACATTGGATGCCCCGCGACATTAGGTGTTGAACTCTTGCATGAAGACGAATGTGCTTCACTGCTTGACCAGTGACGCAGTTTTGATCTCTTCAATATTTCTCACATGTGATCTTTACTTTTTTTTTGGTTTACATCATATTTTCTAGCAGCAGTGGTCTGACAAGACACCATGTTTACCACATTTGGTCGCATACTCCAAGATGCATACTCTTACATGTTCTGCACTTTTCTCAAGCTCAAATAAGTGGTAGAGCAACAAGGTCTTGAATGAAACTGAGCACGGAATGACGTCTACATTTATACTTTAGGCTTAGCTGAACTAAAAAAAAGATGGCCAACTGGACATGTGTTCAGACATAGGGGAAATAGAAGGACCGTGTATTATACAGTGATAGAATGGAGGTTTGTTTCTGCGATTTGCATGTGCTTTATGTCTTTAAGTTGCGCTTGAATGTCACGAAAAAGCGCCGCATCACGCCGCCTGGTGGTTGAGCCTTGGAGCTGTGCGAAGGAATTGTGCAGAGTGCGCCTGCAGTAATGTAGCCTACTTTTTCTTAGGCACACCACAATTCGTACATAAAGGACCCGTGACACCGACTTTAGTAACTCTAGATGCTTGTGTTTGCGAGTGCCGCATGCGGGGGCACTTCTGAAGTACCAATAATTGGTAAAGAGCGTTGCCTATATTACTTTAGTTTTAAAGTAAGGTGAGTGTCAAGCACCAATGGATATGAACTTTGGTTTCACGTAGACGGAGGCCCCGCGTGACGTATGACGTAGGCGAGTATTGACATCAAAGCACATTAGCGGCGCACCCGGCGAAAACTATTGTTCGTCACCCCTCTCGATCTTTTGTCGGGCTGCACTCTAGGTGGTTTTGGCTGCTTACGTCACGAATGCCTTTCTTTTTTCTGAGGGGGACACGCTGAAAGCACTCGCATTGTTTTATTCTTCACGCCCGCGGGTCCCCCTATTTGAAAACGGCGGGTTCAGCGTCACGATCCGCGACACAGTGGGCGCGCGGCGCGCCCGCCACCTTGGAGACCACGGAGGTGTTGGAGACCATAGGTCCGTTGGATTCGCTTGCACCACGTGAACCAGTTCACGAGGTGCTGCACCTTGCCATTCGTTTCAGCGGTGCAGCATTGACAACCACTGCACCCTGCCATTCGTTTCGAAA